TCAACCTCGTATCCTTAATTATATATGAATGCTAATGTATGGAATACCAACCTCAAGCTGTAAAGCTGTTACCATGTACCACATTCCATGACAGTCAAGAGTAGCCTAAGCTAACAAAATCCTCCACCAGTGAAGTCAATGTGAGTTTTGCTAGTTTGAGAATAATACATGAAATAAAATATAAAAATAATCATTCCTAGCTCTCACAGAACGTTTCATCAATTTCTTGCAAAGTGATTCACAAGGGAGAGCAGTCTCATTAGCTCCATTTTATAGATGAAGAAACTAAGGCACAGGTGTGATTTGCTCCATTCACTAGGAAACACTGCTCTATATGCAGTAGAAAATATTTATAATAGAATTCTAAACATGTGTATGTATATTATGCAGGCTCTTTAAGCAGGGCCATTAGCAGAAATGTTTCCATTTTCCCCAGTGCAAATGGATGTTTTCAATAAAAACAGGTCTGTTGCCAAGATTGTATGGTCTTTGAACTGAAAAAATGTGGAAATTTGTATTTTTGATACACATATACATGCACACTGAAATTCCAAGTGCAAAACCAACTGGCAAACACTCCCTCCAAACTTTTGAAAGGAAAATAGCGACCTTCAAATAGTTCTAATTTGCATTAGTCACTAGGTTAATGAAGCACTGCTCTGGTGAGATTTCTGTAACAGCTGCAATGATAAACAAATATATATTTTTAATGGAGATATACCTATCTCACAGAGCTAGAAGGGACCTTGAGAGGTCATCAAGTCCAGTCAGCTGTATTAAGTAACATCCCTTACAGATTTGTCCCCAATCCCTAAATGGCCCCCTCAAGGGCTAAACTCACCACGCTGGGTTTAGCAGGCCAATGCTCAAACCACTGAGCTATCTCTTGGAATTGGATGTAGAATCACTACAATAGTTTCTTCAGGGAACCCAAATCCAAATGCCAGCAACATTCAAAAGCAAATGAGGGTTTATGACCCTTGTTTTGATCTGTAGGCTGCAAATCTATATACTTTCTTATCTTCTCCTTTTTTCTATATTTTAGTAACACTAGTAATGCAAGGCCTGCAGGATTTATCCTGTATGAGTTGGCTTCAGCATTAGTGTAGTGTGATAAGTAAGGGTTAATATCTTTTTTAGAAAGTAAACTAAAATATCCTTAATATCTCTTTAGAAAGTGGTGACATTTTCAGTTGTGGTCCCCCAGATCTACTTCCAGAAATAGAGCTTTATAGTCCTCAACCTTTGTGACCTGAGGAAAGGGGACTAACCTGGAACCTTATAGTCAGATTGGTTTGCCATACCCACATAAATGATATCATTCTTCACTCCCAGGCTACAGACCCATCTCTAATTATCTTGAGGAATCCTTCAGATTGTGTCACTTTCATTGTTCTCTACAACTCAGCTATTCAAATTGCATTGTTCTCTGCAACTCAACTATTTCCCTGCCTCTTGCAGCAGTTGCTGTGGCAGCAAATCTGAAGCAGGGGCTAGATTTGTCTTTGGCCAAGTTTACTGTAGGGGAGTAAGTCAACCTAAGATCCACAACTCCAGCTACCATAGCGTTGCTGAAGTCGACGTATCTTAGGTCGAATTTCTGCAGCATCCCCACTGTGGGAGCTCGATGGGAGAAATTCTTCCATTGACTTCCTTTGCTACTTGTGACCCAATGAAGTACCAGAATTGATAGGGGCATGATCGGCAGTCTATTTAGTGGGTCCTTTCTAGACCTGCTAAATCGAACCCCATGACATGGATCTCCTCAGTGTCCATCTCCTGGTAAGACAAGTACTATATGTGGTGTTGCCCAGGGTGGAACCAATAGCTGGCTTGTAGGATGAGGTATTTTCCAGGCTTCCCAAATGTGGAAGCACAAGCAGGAGTTGGAAGGGGAACGCTGTGACTCAGACATGACCAGCAGCAGGTTGACCCTAGAGACAGTCAAAAGGCCTGTGCTTAAAAAGGACCATGATGCTCTTAGAAATACTGTCTCTAATCAAGGTATGGCCCATGATGCTCATTTTTACTAAGTGCTGTTTCTGGGGTGTAGATAAGAGGAAAAATCAGAGTTGAAACTAGAAGCAAGTCAACGTCAGGCACCTCAACTACTCTTTTAATTAAGTCTGGTTAGGAAATGATGTATACTTGGCAGCAACAATATCCATTAATTGTCACTGCCTTTACTGAATTCATTACTAGATTGAATTGCATGAGCACTAAGTGTTCCTTTCAACACTTTTTCCCCCCTTTGTAATAACATAGTGAATCATGAAGGACAATTTCAATGAAAGCCAGGGCAGCCCAGACTGAACTTTAGCACAATTAGAGATAGACTTGTATATTACGTCCCTAAGTCTCCAATCACGGAAACACATGCTTCCGTGGAATCATGCGAGTAATCCCCACTTCTGAATAACAGATTTATGCTTTATTGACTTTAGTAGGACTTAAACACGTACTTAAATGCTGAATTGAGGCTTAGCTCATTGGGACCTTTGAGCACAGGAAAAAAATAGACGCAATCAGAAATTAAAATAATACTACATTTGATATCAACTAAAAGGCCATAAACTTCGATGGTTATTAATTTTTAGACTTATTTTCATGGGCGCGTCATGCATAGATTCATGTTGACATTTTTAAACTGAAAAAACCCCCATTGATTTAAGAAAGAAAATCAATGGCATTGTCTAATTATGTTTCCAGAGAGTGCCAATGCGTTAATGTAAATATGAAATTCACAGAGGTAAATACGCTGAAAGTTTGCTGGCAAGTAGGACAATATAGGTAAGAACTTAATTGCAGATAGAAATCAGGTGGATATAGGTATAAAATAAGACAGAATTTGTTTCAGTGTGTGAAATAATAAGTTTAAATGCCTCACATACATTATCTTCTTGTCCTGATTATGTTGGAATATCAGACAGTCCTGCTGCCAGGAAGGAGGCAAATGAGCCAGCTGCCCCAGGGCCCCGCGATTTAAAAAGGCTGAGGGCTCCCAGAAAGCACCACTGCTATAGCAGCTGTCAGAGACCTGGGCCCTTTAAATTGCTGCCAGACCACCAGGTGGCACATCCCAGATGATGCTGAAGGGCTGGCTAGGGGAAACTACAGTGAATTAGCATATATAACCTGCGCATGAGTATAACCCACACTCAGGTATAATCCATGGATTTTCCACATTGTGTAGAAAAAGTCTTCACCCGCGGACGAGTATAACCCACGTGTTCTATAAGCTAATTCATGGTGATTGCATGTACCATGGGGAGAACAGAGAGCACGGGAGCAGAGGCGGGCGGGGGAATGGAGAGCACAGTGCAGGAGCACTGGCTGGCCAGCTGGAGGGGAGCCGCACTCGCCCCCAGGACCTGTGCAGCTGCAACTCACCCTCCTCCTCCGTGCATCCACAGCCTGGCACAACCCCACGAGTAAAAGTAAATGTGTATACCCCGCGGATATGTATATCGTGCTGGGGTGGGGTGGGGGGTTGTAAAACCATGTATAACCCACGGGTTATATACATTAATTTACGGTAACTCCAGCCCTACCCTTTCCAAAGGCCTGGAGCTGCCCTGTCCTCAGGCCCAAGGCCCACTGAAGGCTGTCATCAGCCCTGGCATTGGATCTATGGCTTGCTGAAGTTTCTTTGTTTTAGCTCATAGGGTCAAATGCTGGACAATACAGGATATAACTCCTTGTCACATAATTCTCTCAGTCAATAGCAATGATGAATAATCTTGGTTGTGGTTTACTCTTTGTAAACAATGAGGTATTTAGGATAAATATAGGCCCAAGTGCCCAAATATCCATGTGAAGGGTGAACCGCACATGTCGCAGTCCCATAAAGCTGGGTTTGCATGTGCAAATAAGGGGGTTGCGTGTGCAATCCCCTTATTTGCACAATTATATGTTCACAATGGCTGTAAATTCATTTGGGGGCTTTGTACTGAAAAGTAAAATGTGAAATTTGAGCTTTGCA